TGGGTAAGGATTGATCGGGTTTGGATCCGGGCCCGACACGATTTTCAAGTCCGACTAGACCTAGACCTAGACCTAGACCCCGACCCGACCCGAACCGACACAACCGTTGCCACCCTAAGTCAACAAGTTCAAGTGTTTCTACAAAGTGGTATGGACTCCACAAGACTATTCTCATTCTTTAAGTGGCCATTAAATTTCTTTTATATAAACAATTAATCTAAATACACCCGTTAATCTTAGAGGTTTTTCTTAAAATGCCATATTTCAGTATATAATCCATATAAAAATCCAAATCAACATTGGACAAATTACACATCGAGAAAGTTTACCTGCAATATATCTAGAAAAATATCTTAATCAGTGTGAAGAAACCTCAAGGCATGACAACCCCCATGAATCTAGTAAAACTTCAACTAAAACAATGTCTATAAGTTATTGAACAAAATTTTCTAAAACAAGCAGTAAAATAAATTATACAAATAGTTTTTTTGAAATATATACAATGAGACCATTTACATTTGATACAAGGAGGTTACAATCATTATTGATCATTAAAATTGAAATCTGGTGATTTAGAAAGTATCATTGTTTAAGCTTAAAGTCCAAAACAAAATTTCTCAAATATTGTGACTTGTGACACACTTTTATCCATTAAATTTCATATCTAATTGCTAAAACTGACTTTGACCTTTTGTAGCAAAACTATTGCTTTGACCTTTTGTAGCAAAACTATTGCTAAAAATGACTTTGACCTTTTGTAGCAAAACTAAATGGTCTTATAGTATTCAATCCTTCTATTTTTCCAGCATAAAATGTGAATCATCTAGAGATCCCATTAAAATTCCCAACTAGCAAAAGTAAAATTAATGAAAAAATAAACAAAGCTAAATTCAAGTCAACACAAATAATAGGAGATGAAAAAGAATCATTAAAATGGCAACTGCATAGAGAGGGACAGTTATCGTGCAATGAACCAAAGGCTTAGATTCAATCAACAAAGATGTGTTATGTCTAAAATGCCTTATAAAGGATATATATATATATACCGAAAACAACACAAGTAATCTTAAGAAAGAATTCTTAAGATTGAAATAATTCTAACCAACATGCAAAATAGTCCTTGAAGTGCGAAGATTTTATTCAATAGTTATATTATAAAGCAGAATGGCAGACTAGAATTTGTGTAGTTGATTTCAATTAATTGGAAAAAAGCTTGGAAGATGATGATGATACAGTAAAGCACTGATATAAGCTAAAATTTACCATAAAAAGCGATTAAATTATTCCTCTTGAGGCCTGAAAAGAGTATAATTCTTGCTAGGTAGATCATCATTTAAGCATGAAAAGCAAATTTTTTAGCAGAAATATAGAAAGCACAAGAAAAATACCTACAATGAGATACATAATTGGACCTTGGATGGAGACAAAGCACACAAAAGCTTACAATTCTACAAACTTTGTTTGAGGATATAGCACACCCCAATCATAAAAATTTTCATTTGAAGATTTGTGATATTTGTGCCAAAAAAAAATAATCTTGAGGGCAGTTCTCCATGCTTTGTGTGTGGTGGTGACTACTCAGTACACTTGGGGCATAATCAACAAACCTTTACAGAGGATTATTACAGCAAACATTAGCATTTTAAATTGCGTGCCAAGTTTTTGGTGAATCTACTGATTCACCCAGGCATTCTAGAGTTTTAGGATTCAAAAGACATCTTAAATTACTGTGAATCCCTTTCCGCGAATTTGGACCTCTAGAAAGTAATGTAAACCTAATCAGTGTTTGAAAAATCGAATAGGCCTCGAAAACCAACCTAGGGCCTGTACCGAGTAACCGATAAACTGGCCGGTTCAATCAACCTAACTGGGCATGTTTTGTTTGGTAAAAAAAGTGTTAAAAACATACAAAAAAATCTAAAAAATATATGAAAAGTATATTTACAGCATGATTAAACAAAACACCTCCAAATGCAGTTGAAAATCAATGAAAAATGGATTTTAAATAATTAATTTGTACCCAAAGGTATTTTTGAATTTTTTTTTAAAAAATGGAAAACAGTAAAAATAAGTATTCATAGCCAAACACTTTCCAATCTTTACCAAAATGATAAAAACATTAAAAAACGCATTACAAACAAATCTCTTATTTTTTTAGATTTTATATATTTTTTTTAAAAAAATCACCAAAACCGACCAAAATCGTAACCTGGCACTATTCGGTTCTTAGTTGAACCCGTCAATATTACAATCACAGGACCTGATGGTCTTTGAATAAGCGAAATGAATGGTCCAAAAAAACTACAAGGTCGAATAATTTGTAGGGTCGGAATATTTTTTTGCAGAGTTGAATGTCTTCGAAATATCAAAATGAATGATCTTTTAAATAAAAATGAATGCTCTCTAAAAAAAATTGGCCGACCCCAAACAATTGGAGCAAGATTTAGATGATGATGAAACATTTTTCATTGTACCTTAAAGTTTTGTATCCAAAATCAATTTCAAACATATATTTCAAATTTTAAAAAGAGGACACACCCAAAGAAATGCGGTCCCGGCCGCGCCAAAACTGTACGCCTACATTATGTAAGCATGTATTGTATTTCACGTGCATTGTTCCCTTTGTGAGGGGAGGGGAGGGGAGGGGAGGGGGGGCTTGCTCCTCGTTTTAAATGAAAAGGAAATAAGGAAGGAGATGACGTTTAACATTTGGAACCGAGTGAAGAAGAGGCCAAGAAAGGAAGCTTCGTTGCAACTCCTTAGCCTAGTGGACGACTGTTTCCGGTTTCATGATGTGGCCTTTACACCTAATGCAACCAAAAGTGAGAGAGAGAGAGAGAGAGAGTTAGAGAGAGAAAGTGAGAGAGAGAGAGAGTGAGAGAGAGTTAGAGAGAGAGAAAGTGAGAGAGAGAGAGTTAGAGAGCGAAAGTGAGAGAGAATAATCAATTATGTAATGTCTCAAGAGAGAGGAGAGAAAGAGAGAGAGGGGAGGAGAGAAGAAATAAGTTTAGGTATTGATGGTTAAAAAGCGGATTAATAGGAGGTAAAGTTTATATAAGGTGTCAACCATATACTGTAAGAGTAGGATGCAACAAAAAAATCCCAACTATGAGGAGGTTGTTTTTCATCTCGACCTCAAGATTCATAGACATGAAAAAAAAATGGATTTTTAATCCTAAAAATAGTTTATCTTCTAACATATTATTTGGACCGTCCATGTTCAAGATTTTTCAAGTATTTATAGATCTGCTTGTTTATCGCTATTTTTAGAACTTTAAATTTCATAATTGGGGGCAACCGTAGATCTTAATATCATGGCAAAGCTCTATGGCATGGAAACTGCATTTCTGACATTTATAGATCTGCTTGATCGTCACACTTTTAGAATTTTAAATTTCATAATTGGGAGCAACAATAGATTTTCATATCATGGCAAACCTCTATAGCATTGAAACTTCATTTTTGGCATAGTTTTGAAATGCACCTTACTTCAATAGTATAAGGTTGACACCTTATAGAAACCACACCCTTAATAGAAACAAAATTTAAAAATGTATGATTTTGGAAGGGCCACGATCTTTGTTTTTGAGAAAAGAATGTATCAAGATAGAAAAATGTATATTACATATAACAAAATAAGAAAGTATATTTCAAGATTTCATGTGTTTGTAAATCTACTTGATTTGAACAATTGTTGAGGTCCAAAAATTTATAATTAAAAATGAAAATGGATTCGCAAGCCATCCTAAAATATTTTGACAACAAATAATAAAATATGGTGGTATTGCAAATTAACATTCAAAAAAGAAGATCTTGATGAGAGACAGAAAGAGGAGCTAGTCATATGAAATCCTAGACAACTTCACCATTCTAACTCTTAGCTATTCCAAATCATTTAGAGAGAGAGAGAGAAAGAATATTCAATTTGAGTTGTTCAAAAGCATGGGATTGGGCTGGGGCTCACTAGGTCAGTCCCAGATCACACGATATTGACTCGGGCGAGTGTTGAGTCAAATCAATGGTTTTCCAAAAGACACTAATTTCTGTAAAAAGTCACTTACGGTGCCCCGTAAGGATTTGCCTCAAGATTTTGCCTTCTATCTGAGTTATTTTTAACGATTCTCATGTCGGTTCGGCGATTTTTTAAACAACAGTATAAAAGATGTTATGCCCTTTATCTTATTGAGAAGGAATCAAGAATTATTCTTTGCGATTTATAGGGGAAATAATTTCTTGAGAAAATATCTGTTTTCTAAGAGGATCTCCAAGGAAAAATAATTTTTGCTGGGGGAACTATTTGTGAGCATTTTCTGCTTAAAATTTCAAAATTTTGGTCTTCCTCAAAAAGGTCAAGGACAAAAGAACTAACAGACAACTGTCGGTAAAGGATGTGCTAAAAAGTTTAACAAGTTATCTCTGCATGAAACCTCTATCTTCCATAGATGTCCCTTGATTGTCTGATCACTCATACATATGTATAGTTATCTCTGGCATGAATGTAAAGTTAGCTTGGTAGGTTCTAGGTTGGCCTGGACATGACTAGACTCGACTCTGGCTAGGTTCGGATCTTTAGGACCCAAACCTACCCAGTTGGGTCCATTCTTTGGGTTCAGAATAGACTCGGGATGACCTGACCTAGTGGATCCCTACAAATTAGTGGCATTCTCAAGATTTTTAACAAAATAATTGACAATGTACTCGAGGGAAATAGCCTTTCCTAAGGTAACCATCTTCTTGATAAATTTAACAAAATAATTGACAACAAACTCAAGGAAAATAGCTTTTTCTAAAATAACTACTGTGTTAATAAATTGGTTGATTTAATCATATCACCAATGTAGTCAAATATATTTTGGGGCGTGCATGGATGCAGACTCAGCATTTTATAAAAATGACGCTTATGCCTTCATCACATATTGTCATCATCAAAGCCTTTTTCAACTAACCGGCCCTGATCCCTCAAAATAAATATGCTACACATGCCACATTACTTAGAGAGATCATTAAAACCAAGGATTTGGGATTTGATTAAGCACAAGTGCTTTGTTCTTACATGCTTTTATCAAATAAAGCTTACACAAATACCATATATCCCTGAATATATACAAGACCCATCTAAAATATTGAAGAAAAAACAAAAAATATCATGGAAAATCACAATAAGAAATCCATGAACCTAAGCCATGACTTGCTATTAGGTTTCTCAGCCTGGTTTGAGCAGGTAGTGGTATTATTATTAACAGTATCCCTTGGGCAAAGAAAGAAATTGCGAGACCCAAGCCCAATCAACTTCTCGTTTGGATCCAACCCTGTTCACAAATAACAAAGGAGAAAACACAAATAAACATAAGTCCAAAATGAACAATTTTGAGAGGAAAAGATAATGAAACTAATACAAAACTTAAAAGAGCATTAGAAATAAGTCAAAAACAAACCATGCATAAGTAGGGGTGGCAATAGGTCAGGTCCCGCTGGACCTGGACCCCAATAGTGTTCAGGTCCAATATTTGGACCTTGAACCAATCCACTAGGTCCAATTCCTGGATCCATACAAGGACCCGGGTCCCGGGTCAGGTCCGGGTCCATCGCCACCCCTAAGCTGCATAAGCAATATTCAAATTAGAAAGTAATTAAGAGGGGGAAGATTGACAAAAGCCAAACAACTGAGGGGTAGTTATTTGCTCCCTCAAGAACATATTGGACATTGACCTCTAGCATAAAACGCTATCTAAAATAGTTTTAAGGACCCCAAATTTTGGGAAGGAATTGCTTAATTGAGTGAGAGAGCGGCCAATATTTCGACAGTCAGATCGGAATATTTAAGAACTCGATTGTTTTTTTGTTTTTTTTTTTTTTTTACAAAATACTCATTTGGTGATTTTAAAGTGGATCGGAAATTTCTGATGGCAAAATACCAATCTGGTTAGTGGGAAGCAAGGTTTAAGTCCGACTTATTGGCAAAAGGAATTTCAAAAAGATTTTTGTTAGTGAATAGGTTCTCCATAAGGTGATTTTGGGATCTTTTAGTCTCTGTACACTCATCAATAAGTTAATAGAAGAGACCCAACTTAACATTTTAAAAGAAATTCACATAAAAAACTAGGTCCTTTGTCTGAGGGAGTATCTAGTGTACTCTACTACTGATATAGTGTACTCTTGCAGGAGTCCACTCCAAACAAAAACTAAAAGCATGAAAAGCATATGAATAAGAGAGAGAGGGGAGAGAGGGAGGGGGAGGGGGGAATATTTCACAGCAAAAGTAGAGAGAGAAAGAACAGAGTGGGGGGATATTTCATAGGAAAAGTTGCACAATACCTCACAGAGGCAGGCATGAGAGAGAGAGAGAGAGAGAGAGAAGTCTCTCAAGAGAAGTATACAGTAGAAAAAGTAAAAAAAGATGAAAAAAAACAAAGAAGAGAATCTAAGAAAGGGAGTTGTTATTTTTCTTTAGATTAAATTGTCAAGAAAAGGGGAACCAGTTGTAGGCACAGGTAGTGAGATAGAGAGAGAGAGTACTTCAGCTATTTTATTCGAATAAAATTTCCATTAACGAGAGAGACGGGGAATTATCTATATGCAAGACACATAGCTATGTATCTATTTCAAGGAGAGAGAAATAAAGGTAATAATCTATCTGCAAGGAGAGAGAGAGAGAGAGAGAGAGAGAGAGAGAGTAG